GGCTTACCTTGCCTTGATCCATCAGCTAATTTTTGAAAAACGAATTTCATTGGATTTACGAAAAGGATTTTCCTGATTTATTTTTAATTTCCTTCTCACTGCCAACTATTTTCTCTCAGTGCCTTCTGACATCCATCATCTCATCATTATATCATTCACATTCGTTAATATTTTTGAAATATTTTCGCGTAATTTGTTGATATCAATTTACACAGAGCCGCTGTTCAGTCTTGGCCATAATTATATCATTTCGATTGATCGATGCGCCTCGCTCCACTGCCAGCCCTATATCGAGGGCTATAATGGGATGCCACAGATACCAGACAGATTTACCATTGTTCTCAATATATATATATAGATATATATCTGAGTTATTTAGTTGCTAGCAGTGTATGGATTGAGCTCATTACTGGGCTCTAGTTAGAAGACTTTGAGAAGTGGAACCCCATACAGCCCAGCGGGTGAGCCTTGTATAATGTATAATTAAAGATCTCTCTCCCCGGATTATTTCACCTCCCCCTACTCTTGTTTGTTAGCAGCAGCAGACAGGTGCAGGTGAGTTTTGTTACTGTTGACGATGATAAATGTGTCGCATGAGCCAGACATAAATGGTTTGATTTGGTGGCCAGCCCTCCAGTTCCTCCCCCCATTCCATGGCCAGCATCATCGCCTTTGGGGCTTTGGAACGCCTCGATACCGATACCGAGAGTATTTAAAGCAACTTTCACACTACACTCAATTGTCTGTTTTAGGGCCAAAACGCCCTAAAAGGCCAAAACACGCGCAGACTCAACAGGCCATTGCAATGAAAAAACTAAGAAAAATTATAAAATCAAGTCCATTGAGGGAGCTACTGTTGGATCTTTGGGATACCCTGTAAAGATGCTTAAATCATCTATTATTAAACTTTAAATTAAGTTTCTAAAATTTGTAAGAAAGATTTAAAAAGATAATGAAAAGGAAAGCTATTTTTTGGACCTAAAAAATTTCAAAAAATTTTATGAAGACTTACAGGGTACCACTAATCTACCCTTAGTTTCCTTTCCTTAGTATTTATTTGTCTGCTGCACAAATTTGGACACATGTTGCATACCAAAAATGCGCAACGTAAAAGGATACTTTTTGCCCCGATTCCGAGTCCGATTCCGATTCCGATCCCAGCCCGAGTCCGGGCAAACGCCAATAATTTATAAAGCGGACAATAAAATGTTATCAAACGGGGAAAAAAAAGAATATATATACGAGGTGTGTTCAAAAAGTAAGGTGACTCTTCAAATTTCGCGAATTTCAAATTTTTCGATTATCGATTTTTTTGTTTTGTTATATTGGTACACTCTTCCCTAACATCTGTACCAAGTTTCAATGGAACATCCTCTTTTGTTTGGTTGTGAGAGGCGTAAAGTTACAAGTTATTTTGCGAGCTCGGCGATTTTTTGCTATCGAAAAATATGGATCAAAGGATTTGGATTTTTTGGCCAAAAACAACACCACAATAATGCCTCAGCCACCATATTCACCGGATTTGGCCCCATGTGACTTTTTCTTGTTCCCAAAACTGAAGATAATCGAAAAATTTGAAAAATATGAAATTTGAAAAGTCACCTTACTTTTTGAACACACCTCGAAAACTTCTAAAAGGTTTCGATAATCGAAAAATTTGAAATTCGCGAAATTTGAAGAGTCACCTTACTTTTTGAACACACCTCGTATATATACAAGCTAAAGAAGAATCTGGACAGAAGGAGGGACAATCGCGAGTCGACAGGCTGAACTAAATGCTGCACGCCTGCGCATTCTGAACTCTGGAAAATAAAATGAAAAAAAAAGGAGAAGAGACTCCTCCTTGGCTCCGATGATATATGAAATCATATAACAGCAATCGGCAGGCCCCAACAAGAGGTACCACAGATCGCATAAAGTGTGTGTAGTTTATTAAGCGCGCCAAGAAAATGACACAACAACCATATTGGCCTTCTTAGTTCTTGTTGTTGTTGTTGTTATTGCTTTACGCCATATAATTTATGGGCCTTCAGCGAGTTGGCTTAGAGAATTTGCCACAGTTTATTTATGAGCCAGACAGGCCGATCGAAAGATCAATGCCTCAATAGAAATGGAAATGAAGTCAACTCCATCAGCTTTTTGATTTTGTGCACAAAGCAATCGAAAACGAATTAGCAAATTAAGATTGATATTCACAGGAGCAGTAGATGGAGTTTTAATGGCCAATAATATTGTTAGTTTATTTAATTTAGTTGAGGGGAAAGATGGAGGAGAAGATGATATCTAACAGGAGATGGAAAGTATTTAAGGTAGAAAAGTTAAGGGATAAAGATTTGGGCCTTGAGTATGGATTTTTCGCTAAGCTAAGTTAGTTTAAAGAATTTTTCCTTTAAAATACAATTAATTTCCTTTACAAAAATCCTTAAATAATAAACAAAATCTATCTAAAACTTCCAATAAAAATCAAATAATATGCATAAATCGTTCCCAAAACCCGTAATCCGTAACCCGTCATTTAACCCCCCCATAAATCAGAGTTCTATTAAAATATCGTAAATCAAAACCATAAAATTTACAATATTTCAATCAGTGGCTGATCATCGCAGAGCTGCTCCCTCCTTCACTTTTGCATTCCAACAAAGCGCCCTCGTCACATGATATCCATGAAACAAAGTCAGAAAAACAAAAGAACAGAATGAATAAATAAGCCACAGAGAGTCGCATTTAAATAATTCGACGGGGCATTCAATCTATATTTAAAGCGAAAATTGATCATAAAATTTGCAAGGCACGTTTCGAAATTAAATCATTTTAGTTGAGCATGAGCGAAGGCTTCGTGCAGTAAAATAAAAAGCAAAACACAAAAACGCGAAGATCATCAAACCTATGGCAATCGCGGCTTTTAAATGATTTTTATAACACTTCTACGGCGGCTTTTCAATAAAACAACAAAAATTCGATGAATTTTATGGCGTGGCAAAAATTTAATGACATCAATCGAACGAACTCCCTCCCCATTGTTTCGCTTTTCTAATATACAAAAAGGTTTTAATGGATTTTTTGTTCGCCTCAAATTCGGATTCGAATTGGGTTTTGTTTTTTGATTTTCGATTTTATTTAAACATATAAACGGGACCATAAAAAACTCAGACATAGACTCCCTGAAAGCGTGTTAAAAGTAGACTAATGGCTTTTAATTTAAGCCAAGCTTTTCTTTCTCAGGGAGGGGGGCGGTGTGGGGTTAGAAAAGTCAACCAAATAATTGAATAATTGTATGCCGGCCATCGAGTGAGTGTGTTTGATGAACTTTCTCCTCGACGTCCATTCAAAATTAAATCACTTTACGCACTTTAGGCTCCGCCTTGCCAGTCTGTCTCGCTGGCGATGGCTCAGCTATGAGATTTTTATCTCCAACCAAAGCGGCGCCTTAAACAAACAACAATTTGCCCGTTTTTTTGTTTTTTTTTGTTTTTTTTCTATACACAAACGCATGTATCTTGAAGATACATTTGCGTGCCAATGGCGTAATTTACCACTTAACATATCAATTGTGCGGCTATTAATCAAACAACAGACGAGTCGGGGCTTGTGACTGGTGGCCAGAAGGGGCCCCTGACTCTGGATTCCTGCTTTGATTTGTACGCATCGCTTGTCAAACAAAAGTGAGACAAAAGCTGAGAAGATATACAAAGCTCCACGCACACAAAAATACTGGGAAAAAATGAAGAGTTAGTCTAGGAAATTTGAAGATTTTTAAGCTTACTTTAAGTATTTTTAAAAAGAACTAATTGCTTGCTAAGAAATTGGGTTAAAGTTGGATTTTTAAAAAGTTCAAAAATTGGAATGTTTTTTCGGAAACTTCACACATTATTTTTTCTAAATATTTTCAACACACTTTAAAATTTAATAAAATATAAATTTTAAGTTTTTTCCCAGTGCACACACACACCAGAGATTTTTCATATCGTAAATGTCCATCAAAGTCCACAAGCAGCGAGCCAAATCATAATAGGAGCATAAAGAGTAGAATTTTTAACACCTCACTCCTCCGCACTCGAGCTCTTTTGTTCTCCGCCCTGGACACAGTGGCCCCCCCTCATCTTAGTTATTGTATTTGATTTTTTTTTTTTTATTCTCATATTTTTCATTGGCAGTTGGCAGACAAGCCATCAGAGGGCGATCGATAAATGCTACGAAGGCATTCCTCTGGTATTCACTACGAAAACTATTCCATTGAGGCTGTCAAATGACGGCGTCTAATTGCTTTTGTTTGCTCCACTAAGGTGCCTAACGAACTCGAGTGCACGGAGCCACAGAAATATAACAACTCAATTCGAAAAGCGAAACAAATATCTCGAACTCCTTCAGCTGATAGCTGGGGCTGGGAGAGTGGCGGGAAAACACTTAAGCGCCAAAGTGTATCTTTGATCTTTTCGAGATGAAGAACCGCACTGACCCCACTCGACTGCCGTTGATGGTCGATATTTTTTTTGGTGGACCAGAGGGGTTTGAGGTGAGTGAGTCAGTGTTTTTTTAAAATATGTAACAAGTATTTGATATCTTCAAAAGTATCTTAAAAATGCCATTTCTGTGTCCTTTAATGAATGACCTCTTTAAGGTCTCAGAAAATAATTAAAAATTTATTTTTACACGGTAATAATTTGCAACTGTTTTTCTGTTTTCATTTTTTAAGCAAATAATTAATTTGAAGATGTAATTGTGTCTCTTATTTTGATATTTTTTGCAAATTTAAAAGCCATTTCTTATTTTAAGATAACTTTTTACTCTATTTTGACAGAGCAAGAGCTGCGCCACCTAGCGCCTGTCAGCCCAAGCACTAACATCTACACGCCCTTCATGTACTTTTTCTACACGCTGTTAACATAGCATGCTGCATACTTCTAAGCTGTTTACAACAAAACAACCCTGTTATTTAACATAAAAAGTAAACTAAGAAATATTTATAATTTCCCTGCCTTAAAAATTCCACAAAAATTAATAACAACAATTTTTTTGATTTTCTGGCCACTTATATATTTTCGATGCTGTTTCTGTTAGCAAAATTTGTCATTTATTGTTTAATGAATGGCTTGACTTATGTTAATGGAAAATTCCAACATTTTGCACATTTTGTATTTGTTATGTTTTAAAGCAACGACACTCTTGAAATGCTTTTCATTTATTGTTGTTTTGTATATATATTTTTGTTTTTTGTTATTCTCGGGGGGGGGGCAATAGGAATAAAAATTGCAAATTTATACATACGGTACGCGCAGTCTAAAAACAATAAAGTAACAAATGTCTTAGGAAACACACAATTTGTCTATTTCTCATATGTATTTTTTCCATCTTGTATATGTATATGTTGTTTATATGTATATATAGTTATTTATAATAGCCATATTATTAGTTAGAAGTAAGCATACTATCTGTACAGAGATCTTTCTTTTGGTTTTATTGAGTTAAGAGCTGAGAAAGAGGATGATTCCAATGGCGATTTAGAGGCTCAATCCTTCAAGATGATGCTGAAAGTGAAGAAGAATATTTTCAAATCTTAAGTTTAGGTTATATGTTCCAAAAAGTTAATGGAAAATCATTTGTAATATCAAACAAGGTGAACTTCTGTTAAACTTATTCAAAAGGTGTCTAAAAGTATGCAGTAAATAAATGTTAGTCCTTCAACCTCCTAAATTACGATTTTCACACTTTTCCACACTTTTAGATACTTTTATTAGGAGTTTTTCAGTCACCTTCCGACCACTCACATGCGTTTTCTTAACGATTTTCGCTTTCTGCGCAACTTTTTGTATGTGAATTTGCTCGGTGAGATTTTGTAGTCTTCATCGAATTCCTGTTCTAGCTTGACTAGATTTTGCAAGTTCAACTGGCAGTCCTGCAGCAGAATTACACATCGTTATTAAAGGTTAAAGGTAAATAGTAGCACTACCCACCTCTAGATTCTTGAAATGCCAACGGGAATCGCCGGGGGAACCCCCATCGCTGGTCAGCTCGCTGATACATGTCCGCATTGTTGGCCAGCACTGGCAGCGTTTGTTTGTGATCTCACAGCCCGGCTGCAAAACAATTGACTCGCTGTCAGAGCAATTATCATGCTGACTGTAGGTCAGGGCGGTCAGGTGCTGCAAATCTATTTAAAAAGAAACAAAAAAAAAAAAACACAAAAACAAAAATAAACAAAGTTATTAACACAATATCGATGCAGAGAGGAAAACTGTTGGGGCGCATTAATCCACATATTAAATGTTCATTAAGCCCCCCAAAATGAACTTTGATTCTTAACGCATTAAAAGAGATTATGGTGACGTTTATTTTAAATTAGCCGCGGCCTATATAAGCGGAAAGCATTTGCATTTTCCGTTTTAGTTTGGCAAAATGTTTGCCCGACTTTTAGTTCTCATCATATTACTCCCTCTGCAAATTGGCTTGGCAAAGGTTTGTTCTAACGGTATCAGAAAATGATTTTTAACTTTAGTTTCCCGCCAGAATAACTATGACATCGTTATCAAGTCCCTGGAATGTAAGGTGATAGCAGAGAAATATGTCAACGAATTGCAATGCCAACTTGTGCGTCAAAGGATTCCCGTGGTAATGGCCAGATTTAGTGTGAATCAAACTATCGAGCACTTTGACATCCATTCCAAGTTTGATTTGCTGAAGAAGGATAAGAGCCGCATGACTGTGGCAGATCTCAAGATGGATGGCTGCAAATACTTGGGCTCCATGTACCAAAACAATATTATCGGAAAACTGTTTAAGAGACTAAGATCTGTCAGTAATCTGCCAGCTGGCTGTCCTATTTTAGGGGTAAGTCAACTTAGGTTACTTCATTACATCTCATTAAGTTTCATTTTTAAAGAAATATTTCATTTTTTGACAAACTCAACAGTTTGTTAACTTCAACTTCAGCTATCATTCGAAGTCACTTTGAGTTTATCCAACTTATCAAAACTAAAAGAATAAACATTTTTCGATGACAACAAACGGAGACCAGGCAATTTAATGAAATAGAACTTCCGTTTGTTTTTTAGCCAGACTAGTTCGATGGCCAAAGTTTGCCTCTCCTGCCTTCTGCCCGGCATGAGGAAGACAAATATTTTCCTTTGGGAAACAACTTTCAATAAATAAAAGCAAATATTTGTCAACATTTCGTGTTGCGGCACTCTCGACGAGTAAAACTAGTTAAATTTGAACAACATTCTGGCCGTTATTTCATTTAGTATTTTCCATTTTCCATTTACTATTTTCAACAACCATACAACCATTTTCATTTAAAATTGACGCATGGACGGGGTAGGACATTAATTCCCCAAACACGATTACACACAAAAACCAAATTGATGGCATGAAATTATGCAGGGAAAACTGTACGAGATCCGCAACTATACATTCAATTCGGACGAATTCCCGCCAGGAGCTCCGCAGGCCAAATGGCAAATACGAGTCAAATTACTGAAGCGATCCGAACTGGTTGCGGACATATCATTTGAGGGCTCTGTGGTCTATAATACGTGATGTTAATGCATAATGGATGCGACTAAATACAGGATGCTCCTCCATAACCATAACCCGCTAGCTGGTGCCTTCTCTATCGTTCTTTTTTTAAGCGTGCAAAATATACACTTGAAAGAATTCCCCCAAAATTGTATTTATTTTAGATATATCTGAATAACATGTCAAAAGAAATGTATAGATTTATCACAGCCCCCACGCATTTGTAGATAATAAATTTGTAGATATTTTTCTCTAAGTGTATTTAGTTTTCTATCGACTCACCCATGCACACGCCCAGTCCGCTGCTAATGGGCAGCTTGGTCACACACTGCAGGGGCGGCTCACATTGACCGGAAAATCCGCCCGGACCGCCGCAGGATTCGCCCAAAGTTTTGGCGCATATGCGGCAACATCTGCGAATAGTTTGACATATATGTCATTAATATATATATATATACTTTATGAAGCATAATCCTTGGGCTAGAAATGAATCCCAGTAGTAATTGATTCGATTCCGTCTTGGATTCGATAAGCGTTAACAATTAGTTAACACTCTGTATTGTGATGTGGTTGGTTGGGAAGGGAAGTTGGGGGGAAGCATGATGTGAATTCCTAAGCAGTACGTGACTCACGAGGCGAATTGGATTGGCATTTAGATGGGACACTTTGATGCCCTGACTCTCTTAATTATATCATTGCCAATTATTAAGATCGTTGTGTGGTGAGGAATTTTTAGTTAACTTCGTTAAGGGGAAAGTCAGTAATTGACATTTCTCTGACAAGTCACAAGCCAATTTTATCAGAATATGTAAAAAATTTTAATCAAAACTTGCAAATCAACTTATTTCCATATTTGTAATAAAATTAACATAAGTATGAAAGCAATAATTTAAAGTAATATGCAATTTTTATCAAGGTTTTCTGACTGTCAATTCCCTTTGAGAACATAAAAGTAAATTAATATTAAAATTTTACAATACTAATTAACGTTATCTCTCAAACTCACAAATATTTCATATTTAAGTTTGATTTTTATATTTGCCATAAACATAAGCATAAAAAACAGAGATAATATTTGCATAATTTGTCAATATAAGTGAAATAAAAATATTGAATGCGGTAATCGTGAAAGCTTCAGAATTATTCACAATTAAATTGTTTTCTATTGTTTGGAACGTCGTTAAACAACCAAATTAAGTTCGTTTGTGGGTTAAGCAAACAAAACAGAAAACTGAAAAATTAAAATAAAGTTCTTTTATTTATCTGGGAAATTAAAATAGAGGCTCTCCCTGTACATCACATAAATTGAATATTTTTTGTTTTTATAACACAGATACATAGTCAAAAACTGCCCAAAATGTTCCTTTAGTTAATGCTAATAAAGTTTGAGCAATCAAATATTAGAAAAAGTAGAATTAATACGTTACATTTTACGGAAAGTCTGATTTAATGACGAAATAATATAATCAATCCATTGGCTTAACAACGGATGAACCTATCTTAGCTTAACATCGGATATCGAAATAATATCGATAATTAAGGTGACCATACATTAAGCCTACTGCATGCCGAACATCTGACATGTAAAACTATAAACAAAGATTTATCATCAAAATAACTGTACTTAAGTGCAACTCAGCGTAGAACAAAACTGATTTAAATTTCTCCAAACCCTACCCAAAAAGGAGTAAATAATTTATACAAAATTCAAGCTAGATTAAATCACAAGCAATTAAAACAAATAAATCAAATTTAAGCACCCAACGTCCCCTTGTAAGTAGCTTATATTTTTTCAAAAATATTTAATCCTCATAATGCATGCAAAGTATTTAAAAATAAAACCGCTTAACTAAAGCCTAATATCAATTGCCCTGTTTAGTCTGGCCATAAAAACGATGATATATTTAAGAGGGCCAAGGACAACCACCTCTCCATTACCATTCCCATTGCCTGGAAAATATCTTTCTAATTGGAGTGCTGGGTGGAAGAGGAGGAGGAGAAAGAGGAGGTCGACTTACTTGCAGGGATCCCAGAGCATAAGTCCTTTGCCGGGGCAGTCGGGCGAACGGATAACGTCGCACTCCTTCGGATTGCAGTAGCATTTGAGGCCATTTACCACGTTGTTGCTGCCGCCAGATGCTGCCATTATCAGGAGGAGATAGCACCACAAGTAGATGAGCAGCGCGCTCACGTTCAGGCGGCCAAAATAACTTCCGTTCGGTCGCATCCTATGCGGAAGTTTGGCTTTGTTGTTCAACGTCCTTGTGCGTACATCCTGCTCGCTGGCAAACCCGTCCTCCTGATCCTGCTTCTGCTCCAACTCCTGCCACCCTACTACGCCTCTGGCACTTCCGCCCATTTATAGGCAATTTTTATTGCGCCCCTGTGCGTTTGCGTTCCACTGCCTCCAATGATGATGATGATGCTGCTGCTGCTGCTGCTGATGAGGATGCTGGCTGGCAAGGATTCTGGCCGTGGGTACGATTGCGAGTACGGGTGGTCCGGTGTCCGGGTCCGGCGCAGGCAATTTGCATGTTGACTGCAAAGAGCAAGAGAGAGCGTTCTTAAATGATTAAAATGCCATAAACTGCGGCCAGACCTCTACTTTTCCCAACCCCTGAATTGGGCCCTGAACAAGCCCCTGAATAGGCATTTTACAATTGAAAATTTGCGGAAATCGGTTGCCGGTCTAATTTCATTAAAATTTCATTGACGCTGGGTACTACTTTTCGGTGGCCATAAATTTGTAAAATGGTTGGCAATAAGGTTCGGGTTCGGTAAATTGAAATTTCCTCAAATGGTGACATTTTATGTGTTAATCAAATTGTAAATTAATAAGGGCACTTTGCTATTTCAATGGGCAGAAAAAGCAGAAATATTAATATTAATTTGAATTTTATTATTATCAAATTGTGATTTACTGAATGAAGACATTGCAATGGGCTTAATTTTAATTGATATTCTGGGTGGCTCATTCTTGCTTTTAAAATCTGTCAATAAAATAAACAGAAATACAAACTGTTGATACAATTTCCTTTACATTTTATTGTGGTTGAAATATTTCCCTTTACCTCTAAAAATGCAACCTGGTTTTTAAATTAAAACGTGCCATTTTATGTCAACTCATTAATTGGAAAAGGAAGTTTGTAAATCATTTTAATGGTTTCAGACTTTTGCTTTGTGAGTTGTTTTTTTGTTTTATAACTAAAGTTACATATTAAATATATGATAAAAGTTTGTAAGTAAAGTTTGGAAAACTAATTAGTTGGTGTAATCATTGCAGCAGCATTAGCTACTTTTCTGACATAAATTTGTAATGTGACTAAATGGTCATAATGATGGCAAAGACAACTTTGAAAGGTAAATCTAAGCGGAATTATTATTACATTTTAAAATAGAGTTTTAGTATTCCAAAGAGACATTTCCCTTTTTAATATTTAATCTATGCATTGCATTTTAACATTAGTAAGCATAAAAGAACAAAAAATGCTAAATTGACAAAGAAGTTTGTTTGATCTTTTCTGTTTAATTCATGAGTTTATCATCATAGTTGCTAAGTTAACATAAAAGCAGTTTATTTCATGAAGTTTTAATTACAAATAGATTACATTCAACAGGAAAGTATACAAATATAGAACAAACTTTTAGGGTCAATGTTTTCTTTCCTGCCACTCCAACAGAAAACCTTTTCCAATGACTGTGAAAACTTTGAGGGAAACATACTCGTAATCTGATTTAAATTAAGCAGTCAGTTTTTTTTTTGAAAAGAAACCCAACCAATTTGTCCAACAGCTTGAAAAAGTTTCTGGCAATTAAAGTTTTTCCATTTAACTTCCCCCAAACCTTGGCAATGTCATATACTTTTCTTTTTTAATCAACGTTTGATCAAGCTGGCTTCAAATCGCACTTCGGCGACTTCGGTGGCTTAATTAACCAAACGTGGTCAGGGCCAAAATCAGAGCCCGGAAAATGAACTCACTGATAGACCACAAAAAAAGGAACAATACCACGAAACAAAAAAAGGAAAAAGCTTCGGAAATTAATTTTAACAAAACCTTCAAAAAAAAAGTCATGCCACATGCCAAAAAGTTGTGGAAAATCAAGGCTGAAAATTGAACTGAATGTGAAGGAAATCCAATTTGCTAGAACTCCTGACCAACTAATTTGTATTTAAACGTTTGATGTCCTGTCAGGACTTTTCACTCTAGGAATAAATGAAAATTCCTAACCTATTACAATATGTATTTTCGAAATTTTTGCGCAGTTTCTTTGCTTGAAAATCAATGGAAAAATAATAAACTTTTGGCAATTGCAATTGTTGTTTTTTTGGTTCTCTTCTGTTCTCTATTTCACTTTGCCTTGGCCGAAAGGACACACTCCACTCGACATTATAGCCATGGCTGTTGTTGTTTTTGTTGTTTTTTCAGTTGTTGCCCGTCAACCACTTTCAATTTGGCATTCAATTTTTGTTGTTCTGTTTTTATAACAACGCCACTGACACAGTCACAAAGCCTTAACACACACTAGCACACTCAGCGGAGCACACACCTCGTTACACCTAACGATAGACGTTTAAGACTAGCACTCGCTATATAGTATATAGTGCTATATCCTTATCGTTGTTGTTGTTGCTATCGCTATCCTGACGTTAAACATTCGGTTCCGACAAATCCCAATGAATTTTTCATGCGCTTTTGTCTGCCGCACGCGGCCATTTAAGGCAAGAGACTGAACTAACCTGCTGCCTCTGTCGTTGCATAGACCTTTTGCCAGTTAGAACGAACATATATCCCCGCCGATTTCGGGATATTCCTATGGTTTTGTTCTTGTTAAGGCTCCCTCTATATAGAAATATCCCAGTATTTTCTCTCTTCGCGCAAGCGCTGTTCATATTGAGCCTGGAAGGCAGAGTTATCAGACATAACAAGCGAAGGTCTCTCGTAGGATGTGCGAAATTCGGGTTTATGTGGTGGGAGAATTCACGATTAAGAAAGGAGAAGTTTTTGAGGAAATTTCCCTTTTTTTTTGGAAGTTTTTCTTTGATTGACAGATATAACCTTCTAATTTAAGAATTTCCGTTAGGAAAAAAAAATCTTAAAAAGTTTACGAAATGGTCACCTTAAATATCGATATGATTCCGATAGCCGATGTTAAGCTAGCATAAGGTAATTGGTTGGCAAGCATTTTCGATTCGATACATTCTTAAGTGGGAAGTGAAGTAACAGAGACCTAGAAATGAAATAAATACATAAATTAAATTTTACGAAAAAGACTTAACTGTTAAAGTTTTTGTCTTAAAATTAAGTTTTTCATTACTTTTATAAAGTTTTATTTTATTTTTATTTATTTCTTTTGGAATTTTACTTAAGGCAGCTTTGATTTTCGTTTTTTTCCAGAACTTTTAAGAATTCTTTCACGAGAAGCGTTTCAAACCTAAATACCTGTTTGGAAGTTAGTCTATTAACGTTATAAGAACTTTATTATCTTAATTTTAAATCAACCAAAGTCCCCCTATTTTTAAAACACACATTCAGCCACCGCATAAACACCCTCGTAGCGAAGAGCTCTTGATGATTATGGCGCGACGAGAGCAAACAGCGGATGCAGAAACATCCTTCAAAATATAAAGTCATTTTTGTTTATTATAATTACAAATAAAGAGCAGGATGCAGGGGCTTAAGCCTAAGCTGTTTCCCGACGTTGGGCGACGAGATTCACTAAGGCCGCCAATCACGAAAGCGGGCTAATGGCCAATTTAAAAGTATGAAAAAGTCAGCTCGTTTGTCTTGTGATTATTTTATATAAGTATTTTCTTCATGTTTTTTTTTTTTATATTTTTAAGCTTGTAGCAGTTTAGGCCGCAACTTTGATGATGAGGCAACCGTGTCAGCTGCTAATAAGCATCGCTCTAAGCAATTTGCCTCCAATAAAAGCCACACACCGCACACGGGCCTATCAAGTGAAAAACTTCTCCTCCTTCTGGCCATTCTACTTGCCCCTCTAAAAAAGCAAGGGCAAAAAACTTGCAACTTTTCCAATTAGCGTAAAACAGACGTTTGAGTCCAAAAGTACACGAGAGAGTTCAAGTCCGAGAGAGATGTGGGTGCACACGTTCACCTCCCCCTTTTGATTTTCCCACCGAAGATGAGTCCAATGCCACAGTAAATGTTGCGTAAAACAACTGCGGACTCGGGCTGCTGAATATTCTCCCTACTCCCTCCTCCCCACCCTTTGAAATGCCCTTCGAAAACCACCCAACACCCCGCAGATTTACAATTGAACAAAAGAGCAATCGGGAATTATGAGCGGGCAAAACTTTTTTAACAACAATAATGGAACGTAAAGAAAACGCTCAGCTCCCCAACAAGAAAAACAAGAAAAACATATATATATATGTATAAATTGAAAAAAAATAACTGTACCGAAGAATATGAAAATATCGATGCAGTGGGGAAAAAACTGGTAATCGATTTGGCTTCCCACTGGGAATCAAAACATCCGCTGGAAATGAAAAAGTTATATTTTTTATAAAAACATGTTAACTGCCTACATAAATATTCCTTGTTAAATAATTTGTAAGTGAAAAAATTGATTGGTATTTAAATAGAGGAATAAACAAATTAAAAGAAAATAAGAATGTTTGATACAAAAAATATTGTTAACATTTTTTATAAATATATTTAAATTTTACAAGTAATTTCCTGCTGTTAACTTTACATTTAAAGTCAAAATTATACGACAGCGCTCCTTATTAACCCAAAAATGACTTTAAAAATGTATTTAAAAATTTTTAAAAATCAGATTAAAGTTAAATATCATAAACATTATCTGAAAAATACTTTCCTTTCTCTGTACTACCCAGCCCAGTGCAAAAAATATCGAAAACTTATGCGCTCAACTTGATATGCTGCAAAAAGTAAATGTGCAACAATGTGGCGGGTGGGTGGTGGCAGCAGCTTAAATTGTAAGTGCCCCCATCCTCAGAGAATGCAGCATTTCGGCTATTAATTCTTGAACAATTGCCAGAGGCAAAAGTTTGCCTCAATGGTTGGGTTAAAAAAGCAAAAAAAAAAACCAACCAAGTAAAAAGAAAATATGAACCAAGAGACTGGAAGGGAGGAACTTGCCGCCGTCGGTGCACACATTTATTTTCAATGTTTCATTACTTAACAACTTTTTGATGACAGTTTTATTGGCATTTAAACAAAAATTGAAGTGTTCTCTTCAGCCATACATATTTTTCACATTTTTTTTATATATTTTTTTTGTGCCTTTTTTGTTCGAGTACGTCATAAAACATTAAACACGAGAAAAACGCACATAAAAAGTTTCCTACGATTGGCAGAGGCTGTGGCTGGAAAATGAGACCATCAAAGGCCAGGGCGGAAAATGGCGTAAGGAAAAAAGGCAGTTGCCATGGCAGAACACGAAGGTTGTTGCCATGCTTTTACCATCGAAACTGGTTGGCTTGTAATCTGCAATTATATCGAGGCATTCAGATTCAGATAGAAGCAACACTCTCTCTCTCTCTCTGGGTAAAAGTTGGTGCACAAACTTTGCTGCACAAACACAAAAATGTAATTCAAATAAACTTGCACAGCTTTTCTGAGTATGCTTCAGAAATAAATAAATGTTAATTTCGAGAGGAGAAGATAAAATCAAGACAAAGCCAGAGATTTTTAAGAGGAGGCGCACAAATTGAGATATTTCGGTGAAGTACGGCATGGAATCAGGCCAAATTTTGAAACAGAATTTTTGTTTTTCTATTGATTTAATGATATCTACTTCAAAGTCCATAAAGCCTTGTTTGTTGTTAAATTGTAGTTTTATAGAAGGCAAATGAAATTGAGAAAATAATAAAATGCAATGGTTGGGGGGTAAGCTCTTAGTTTTAGATCTGAAATAAATTATTTGGTAAAGAAATATTATTTAAAATTGCTGTAGTTGGGAGAGAAAACTCTCTCACAGGACTTTATATTAGTTACAAAATATAAATTTCTTTAAAAAAATGCTTCTTATTTTTACTTTTCAATATTTTCCCATCATCCTTCTTTACCCCCAATTAATCAAGGTCGATCTTCGGCCTTTCCAGATCCTCGTCCACCGCCCAATTAGCCATTATTCCAAAATTTGAATTTGAATTACAAATTAATCCCAGGCAATCCTAGCCGGGTAAAAATATAAAAAAGAAAAACCAAATTTACGCAACGCCCACACAATTTATTTGGAACCATTTTTTAAGGGATTTTCTTTAGGGTAATTTGCGTGTTTTTTTTCCTTTTTTTTTTGCCCCGTTGGATTTACTGTCGTTGGATCTTAAGGATTCGGGAGTTTTAAGGGGATTGAGAGACAGAGAGAGGGGAAGCAGAATGTCCGCAATGGCCGAGTAATTTGCCACTCGTCCATTTTAAATTACATTAGTTGAGACGCGGCTAAGAAAATGTGAGGAGTTTTCCAGATAGAGAGAGAGAGAGAAAGGGAGAGGGGGGGGGATAACCCTGGTCAAATGCATATTTCTCGTTTCAATTACTTTCGCGGGGTAGAAAAGCTGTCGGCGGTATACCAACACTAGCGGATATTTGAACCCCCAGAAACATCCGCATTTGCCTTAATGAAATTTGCATATAAATTGCAGGACCCAAAGTTGGAAGTTGAAAGTTGATTTCGATTATTTGATGGGCGACTTTCATGAAGTTCCTCGCGACATGGCCATCATCATCGTCCTCCTCGTCGTCGTCGTCGTCGTCATCATCCATTGTTCCATCTTGTTTTTTGCCCGTCGTCGTCTGTTGCTGCTGTCTTCTCGCATACCGCACGGGATTTTTACTTTTTGCCATTTTTGTATTTTCCTGTTTTTTACTTTTACTTTTTAGGTTGTCAAAATGTCGACTTGTTTATCTTTTACATGACGCAACACTGTGGCATCAGCATCATCATCATCATCATCAACATCAACATCAACATCGTCGCCGCTCCGTTGCATTGCCATCCAGATCCCGAGCGTTGTGGCATGCCGCACGCCAAGTGGAGCGCACTGCTGGAAAAGTATGCAGCTCCATTTTCCTGTCCACCTTCTCCTGCTGCTCACTCTTTCATCAGCCGCCACCCAAAAAAAAAAAAAACGCCCCGCCCATCCCTATGTCGCATAGCCAAGCCCTGGAAAATGAGTGAAACTAAAGCCGGCTGGCTGAGTGGCATTTAATGCACAGCTAGTAGGACACAAAGTCGGAAAAGGCGGAGATATAACCGCAGAAATGGCAGCACACGCGGAAATCAGCTTTCAGCTTTTCCACGTTGGCTCGAATTGCTGCTTTAGACTGGGAAATATCCTGCCAGCTAGTCAGAAATATCCTGCCAGCTCATCAACTGTCTTTTGATTTTGGTATTAAAGAGTTTCCTTTTAGGGAGAGGGATAAAATGCAAGCTGTCTTACAACCAGAAGCTGTCCCACAAGAAATCGATAAGGAATCACTGTAAACACATTTTCTTATATTTACTTTTGCCAAATTTGACTTAAAATAAGTGAAATTCAGTGAGTTTTTGCTTGATTTTTAAGTTCTTAGTGATAAAAAGACCTGCGATTCTTATCCAAATTCAGGAAATCTCAGCAATCCTTGGAGAATACTTATCAATATCAAGATTTCCATATTTGATTTTGGCAAACATTCATTGAATCATTCCTAAGCATGCCCCTGGGTTTTGAAGACCTAAATTCTGATTTAGTTTGCAATTTAGATA